TATAGCTGCAGCATGGCTCTTCAACGTAAAATTTTTAAACAATAATTTTATTACCGTAATTTCTAAAAGGATTTAATAAAATCAACCGTTGCGCAACCTTCTTTGGAGGTTTCGATTATTATTTTACGCTGGTATACTGTGAGAGTGTGGTCCTTCCCCGGTTGAGCCGACCCATTCGTGCTGCAACCACAATATAGCTGCAGCGTGGCTCTTCAACGTAAAATTTTTAAACAATAATTTTATTACCGTAATTTCTAAAAGGATTTAATAAAATCAACCGTTGCGCAACCTTCTTTGGAGGTTTCGATTATTATTTTACGCTGGTATACTGTGAGAGTGTGGTCCTTCCCCCGGTTGAGCCGACCCATTCGTGCTGCAACCACAATATAGCTGCAGCGTGGCTCTTCAACGTAAAATTTTTAAACAATAATTTTATTACCGTAATTTCTAAAAGGATTTAATAAAATCAACCGTTGCTCAACCTTCTTTGGAGGTTTCGATTATTATTTTTTCCAGTTTCATTATTGGCCTAAATTTACTACTAAATATATAGTTTACGATTTTTTGTGTAAGATTGAAATCTTACCCAAAACGATTGTCACGGTAATTTTTCTATAACTTCAAGTTTTAATGCTAAATCGATTTTTACCTTTTTTAAATCAACAACATTTTACAACAAACCGAACAAAATCTTTTTTTTAAGTGAAATTAGTAGTTAATCAATTTTTAATTTAAATATTTGGCTTAAAATTGTTTTTTATCCACCCAAAGATCATAATGGTCTTTGAGTTATTCAAATAAGAAAGCAACCGGTTAGTTAAAAAGAGCCACAAAATTCGGTTCACATTTTAATAAATTCTACATTACAATCGAAATTATTTGTTCTTTACAAGTCTTGGGTCTGTTTTCAATCACACGTTCAAAATATACTACTTATAAGATTTAGAACCAATTTTAAAAGTAAATAAACTCATTTATGGAAAAAATATAACATTAACGAAAAACAAATTATAGTCTGTATGAATTAAATAGTTCAATTGTTTTGATGTAAAATATTTCGCCAAATTATAATTTATTTATAATGTTTATTTAACTGACGATTAAAAATCAGCCCTTATAACAGTACATTACTTTAAAACACACAGTTTAACAAGTTTCATTTATTCGTGGAGTCCGCATTATTAAAAGTCGGATCCGTGCAAGAAACTTTAGTGTTAAGTTACATATATGTAACATTAATACGTTTACTAGCGAAGCAATTGTAATTAGAACTAATAATCTTTCACTCACTAGATGTCGCTAGTTGACACTGAGGTGAAGTTTTTGTTACGTGAGTTTTAAATAAAAGTTTATAGAGCATAACATTAATAAACCATGGAGTATAGAGGTAAGGAGGACATTCTCCCATAGGAGGGTAGTTGAAAATGTGTCCATCTTTAAGCAGTAAATAACAGTTCACAAACTCTCCACAATAGCGCTCGAGTAGCTACAGGGTATGATTAATCGTCATAATATACGTTGAGAGTGATTTTGAAAATAAAAATTTTGATAGCAATAAAATAATTATTGTAATAAGAATTATGGTGAAAGTCTGTGCAATAAAAATTATAAAAAGTTTTTTTAAAATTCAGACTGTAGCTACAGTGGCGCCACCCTTATTTAGCGCTTTCCTACGGACACTTTTTTATACAGATTCTGTACTCCTTACCTCTACACTCCATACATAAAACCTTTTTATGTTGGCTCTTTAACTTTTTGTACAATTTTATCTTTTTTTTTTCTACTTTTATAATGATTTGTAGTTTGGTTTATTTATTTCTAATCTAATTTATATAAAATATAACTAAAAGTATAGAAATAAAAATTACTCCTCATTTTTAAGTGGCGATTTATAAAGTATTTAAATAAATAATTTTTATTAGCAGCTATGTTTATTAGGTAATAATAAGATTTGTAGGCAGATGTGTATTGGCGGTGCAAGAATAACTGCTATCCCATATCAGCATGTGGGTGTCGTTAGCGGCGACAGAGGGAAACAAATCAAGGGATGGGCAGCAGCTTCTGCCTAATAACGACTAAAAGATACTACGGTGGCTAATCTTCGTGCCAAGCATAGAATACTCTAATACATAAAGATACTACGGTGGCTAATCTGCGTGCCAAGCATAGAATACTCTAATACATAAAGATACTACGGTGGCTAATCTGCGTGCCAAGCATAGAATACTCTAATACATAAAGATACTACGGTGGCTAATCTGCGTGCCAAGCATAAGAATACTCTAATACATAAAGATACTACGGTGGCTAATCTGCGTGCCAAGCATAGAATACTCTAATACATAAAGATACTACGGTGGCTAATCTGCGTGCCAAGCATAGAATACTCTAATACATAAAGATACTACGGTGGCTAATTGCGTGCCAAGCATAGAATACTCTAATACATAAAGATACTACGGTGGCTAATCTGCGTGCCAAGCATAGAATACTCTAATACATAAAGATACTACGGTGGCTAATCTGCGTGCCAAGCATAGAATACTCTAATACATAAAGATACTACGGTGGCTAATCTGCGTGCCAAGCATAGAATACTCTAATACATAAAGATACTACGGTGGCTAATCTGCGTGCCAAGCGTAGAATACTCTAATACATAAAGATACTACGGTGGCTAATCTGCGTGCCAAGCATAGAATACTCTAATACATAAAGATACTACGGTGGCTAATCTGCGTGCCAAGCATAGAATACTCTAATACATAAAGATACTACGGTGGCTAATCTGCGTGCCAAGCGTAGAATACTCTAATACATAAAGATACTACGGTGGCTAATCTGCGTGCCAAGCATAGAATACTCTAATACATAAAGATACTACGGTGGCTAATCTGCGTGCCAAGCATAGAATACTCTAATACATAAAGATACTACGGTGGCTAATCTGCGTGCCAAGCATAGAATACTCTAATACATAAAGATACTACGGTGGCTAATCTGCGTGCCAAGCATAGAATACTCTAATACATAAAGATACTACGGTGGCTAATCTGCGTGCCAAGCATAGAATACTCTAATACATACATAACACAACGGTGGAGTGGGCGGAGCCCGCGTAGCCACTAAAATGTCACTGACACGTCAATTCACACGTATAAATGTCAACACGAGATGTGTTTTGACGTTACAATCGTTACCAAATTTCGCATGCAAATTTTTATCTATTTACAAATAAATATGTATTAAAATTTAAAAGATTTTTTAATGATGGTCTTGAACATTAATCAAAAGTCTAAAATGTGTAAATTTATTCAGCCTGTCAACATAGCGAATCGGGTTGGCGACGCCAAACCTCGTACGAAATAAAGTTGACAGCCATTCTATTGTGTATTATAGTATTCTATGGTGCCAAGCTTGGCAATTATAGCAAACATCTCTATGTTCAGCAGTGGACTTTAATAGGTTGTAACGACGACGACGATGATTTAATTTCATATGCATAAAATGTTTATACAGATTAAGAGGATGACTGCTTATTACGCAATAAAATGTTCAATTCTCACCAATTTTCATATAATTGCCTAGATAATTATGCAAATAAATACTTCTGGAAAAGTTTCTCTGTAAGGTTTAAGAAGGAAAATTAAAATTGGTCAACAAAACCTTGTCAATTAATCAATTGAATTATTTAAAATAAAATTTTTAATAAATTTGTCAAGTCTATATTCACAGGGATGATTATACATATTTTTTAAGTTACAATAATTTTAATCTTTATCCTTGACATTTTGTACACTCGGAATTAGGAATCAAATAAGTCGAAATAAGGATTTTCATATCAGACTAAGATGCTTTCGACTTCCTTTCATGTTTAGACAGTTTATAATACAAATCAACATCTAATAGACAAACCAAATCTATTTCAAGAGTGGAAACAATTATGGTTCTGATAAAAATGGCCAAACCTTAAAAGAGTACAATAAATGCTTAATTATCGATCTCGTTGCGAATTTTAGTAAAATTACCACGAAAATGGTGACCCTTACCTTATATTACGTCACAACGTCAAAAGTATATAATATTTTTTTAAATTTTAGTCTTAAATATATAATATCGGTAGCCTTGACAGTGCAAATAAATTTCTAAATGTTATTGCTCTCTAAAAATATTAGTCTATTATATAGCAGACCTTATTAAGACCTTAAATAAAAGCTTGCTTCACAACTCTGACAAAAAATAAAGACAGATGGTGACGCATGATGGATGACGCCGCGTACATTTCAACCATACACAACTTTTCGACTCGAACTTACGCATATCACATGTTTCTTATTTGTTTCTTAGACGCACATATATATACCTAAATCGATGTTTTTGGTTACAAATAATTTAAAATGCATATAATGTGTGTGCATGAATACGCGTTCTTATAAGTTGATCATGGGTTTCGCTCGACTACCTTACTTGGTTGATCTGAGTTTGACAAACAATGTTGCTAGTTAAATGTAATTTTAAAATAATTCATTAAAATTTAATACCTGCATAAAATAATAATACTTAGCGCCGTCTGTAGTCAAATAGCTTACAAATATTCAAATATATTACGATTTATTTCTATTGCATACTTTATATTGAATTAGTTTATTTTTAGGGTTGTCAGTATGCCTTACTTATAAAATCGATATAAATATTTAAAACACATGACATTTTTCTTTGTAATTTTGATTGGAATAAATATTTAAAAAAAAGACGCTAATCTCTTTTAAATAAATGACAGCAGGCAGAGAGATTTAAAAATAATACTTAATTTATATAAGCGATAATCAAGGATTACAAGTAAGGATGTTAATATTATTTTACTTTCAATTAAAAAGACTTCGGATGAATCTCAGAAAATCTCGCTAAGTTGAAAGCTATTGACGACATAATAACTTAATTAATGTTAAACTAATTCAAATCTAAAAATTCTCAAAAATAATTTATATACATGTTTTATATCACAGCCTTTCCAATATGGAAATAATTGAATAAGCAACGCCTGAAACCATTGCAATCACAGAGAAGATACTGATGAGGCAATTTTTCCATAGAATCCAATTGCATGGTCCCAAACCGCGACTCCAACGCCAAACTGTCTCTACTATTGCGGGAAGTAGCAGACCCATAACGGATAAGCAAATAGCGCCCACAAGTTCCATGAAGAGCTCGAGTCTAGGAATCGCACTTGCAATGCCAACTGTAAAAATAAAACGACAAGGTTGAAAAATAAAACGAGGATGGTCCTTATGATTAATGATTATGATATAACATGAACGAAACTAGTCTTAAATACAAAAATGTTCATATAACTTTTTTTTTAATCGAAAGCATTAGATTATCGTATGCTAATCAAGTGCTCTACCAAATTCTCACTCAACTCAATTGGAAACGACACATACTTGTATGGCAGCCTTGTAAATACTCTTGCAAACTAATAAAATATTCTATTAGACCAATTTGGTAGTAATAAAAGCCAAAAAGAATTTTTTTTCGGCCGTTATTGAAAACAAGATCAATCAACCAGTGGGTGTAGCTATTTATGTCATATGGATCTGAGACGTGGTCCGTTTGATTATTTTATGCTTACTTTAAATACTTCCAACATTGCCTCCTTATATAATTTTTATTCAGTGAATTATTGTAGATATACTTTAGGGTTCAGATTTAAAACAAAAATTGTCTATGTGCTAAGTCTATCTGTCTCAGTAAGGAAAAAAAATTGTAAATTTTTGTCCGTGGCCGTGTTGTTAGTACAAAATTGGGACCAACCTCCACGCTTTAGAGAACTAATTTATATTTCTATGAAAGCCTTGTCCTTATTGTTGACCGTATGTAGAAGTTCTGGTTCCTTCAGCTAGCTATCGAGAAAGTTATGCTCGGGGTTTCTTTACGTGATAGAATTAAAGATAAGGATATCTGCTGTAGAATCAATGTAACCGACATAGCCCAACGTATTAGTAAACAGAAGCAGCGTGGGTTGCCATGTAACTCGAAGACAACCCAAATGAAAAAGGTTAGTGGCAATCTCATACATGTGAGTGTCAACCTTGTAAAATATACAGGGATTCGATAAACACCGGTGACTCAGGAGCATGCTTTGCATTCATTGGCCTACATTAAGCCGTAGACTTGTGAAAGGCTGTAATGATAATTATGTAGAAACAAACACTCATCAACAAAAGTTTGCTATTGAATTGAATTTTAAATTTTTCCCCGCATTTGGATATAAACTAAAATGAATATTACCTATTAGTACTGTTCCTATAAACCTCAATCCGGCTATCGACCATCGGTGACCTCGTGCTGGTATTTTGTCTTGTATCCGCCTCCATACGACATCCACTGGGACGTAATACACCAACGCAAAGGACAGTATCATTACGCACGCCACCAAGATCTTAGCAAGCTGAGCTAATCTGTAAAGATAATTCAATTTATTCAGATTATAAAGGTTGCAATATTCATAAGGTGACCGCATAAGTTCACTGCTGGGCATAGCCTCTCTGACGGGAGATTATTATTAGGAGATTCGCTTGGCACGCGAATTGGCGACTGCAGTTACTGACGTCTTGCAATTTTGAAGCTGCTCTCCTGCTGTGGTCTAGACATAATACGTCTACCGTAAATTAGATGGTTGTACCGCCATCTATCGGTAGCCATAATATCCTTTAAGCCATAATAACATTAATAACGTAATAACCATTAATTTTTGTTGTTATAATTGGATGCAATTTTTTTTAATATTTTTGCATGTAAAATTTAACATTGTGTGCGTGTTGAATTTTCTGTAAGCCACAAGAGTTTTTGAATTAAATAAATAAAATAAAAATAAATAAAATAAAAATAAATAACAATATCTTTTGCCAGCATCTGTCTTACTTACTTTCCTTTCCATCCGATTACTGTGTGGGTGCCATCAGGGTAAGAGTGAATAGGTTTTTGTTAAGTGCCGGTTCCGGACAGTGCCCTTCACCATCTTGGGCTACATCACCACTTACCACCAGGTGGGATGGTAACTAAACGCGGCTTAGAATGAGTATTAAAATATCACATTGTCGACTCTTACGACACCCATAGGACAAAAAGGGGTGATGGATTTGCGCTAGACTGAACGAATGATGGACGAAACAAGGATTTTATTCGCGTTATTATTTAGTAAATGATCATGAAAACGATTCTTGGTATCGGCTACAAATGATATAATATGTGTTGTTCGTCAGAATTTAAATTGTTTTTTTTTTGTTTTTTTTTTAATACGTTACCTCTACAATAAAATTTTCTACTGTATCTTGGGGGCAAATTTAATTTGTAAAATTTATGTTTGTAAACATAAATTTCAAGGACAAACATCCAGACCCGAAAAAATTAATTGTAGGCCATTCAAATATTTGTGGTATGTTGTGTATTCGAACCCGCGGCACTTAGCGCTGTAACTCATTGCTAATTGCCATGAGCGAGATTTTCCACTTACTTTTCCGATTAGATCCGGAAGTAATTCAAAACTGAAGTACTTCAACTTTACTTCTTCTGAGTTCATACTTACATTTCATCTTGCGGCAAATTCAATGTGAGACTTCCCCTCACTTCTTCCCCAAAATTTAGGTAACCGCAGAATCCGACGAAACCGTAAAGCAAGACAACCGCTGACATTGCAATATTTAAAACTCCAGGGCACCCGAGGAAATGATGCGGTTTAATCATCTCATTTTCAATTGGCATGACAACTCCGATGCCTTCCATCGCGAAGAGGCTTGTACTGTAAAAATTTGAAACACGATATTTGATTATTATTGTTCCGTGTCCATTAAGGAAAATGAATCACTTATGGCAGCATTTTGGTCTCTATCTATATTGTTTCATAAGTATTTTCTATATAATTTAAAGTTTTGGGAATAGTTATAAAATGTGTTTACACAAATGCTATTTTACGTATATTATCATCACGCATAATGCTAACTTAAGTTTAAAAATAAAGCGTCAGAACACTCGTTAGGCACAACATGCGTGCTTAATTTAATTTTAATTAATTATTTAAATTGTAGTGACGTGTAGCCCACACGACAATAGGTATATGTTAGAGTTAAGTTTATAATAAAGAGCAGTATAATTAAAGACCAAGAGGAAGCAACACATCTTTCTTTTCTTTATACGTGGTAGAGCCACGCTGCAGCTATATTATGGTTGTAGCACGAAAGGGTCGGCTTGACCGGGGAAGGACCACGCTCTCACAGAATACCAGCGTAAAATAGCAGCTTGGTGCTGCTGTATTTCGTATGGTAAGAGTAGAGAAACGGAGAGACGTTTACTGGAATCAAGGCATACCATCTTAGTCCTCAGGGGTGACAACGCATCTGCATTTTGATTCTTAATCTAGGTTAAATGTAGATGTCTAGGGGCCACAGCATCCACTTACCATCAGGTGGACTGTGTGCTCGTTTGTCACCCTAATTCTATAAAAAAATCTTCCAGGGCATTTTGTACTACTTCTCGGATATTGTGTTTTTTTCCGCCAAAAAGTTTGTCAAATTCTGTAAAAGTAGAAGTCTGTAGACAAAAGCTCTGGTGAGTAAGGCGGAAGACGGTAAGCTTCTAGGCCTAGCTTTTGTATCTTGGGACCGTTTTGTGCAGTATGAGATCGCGAGTTGTTGTGCAAGAGCAGCGAGGACGAGCGGTTGAGTACAGCGGGTTGTTCTTCACAGTACACATCTGCAGTAATTCTCATACCGTTTCGTAAGAAGCTGTGATAAATCACACCGCCGCTAGACCACTAAACAGTGATCATCACTTTTTTAAGGATAAGTTTTGCTTTAGAGCATAGTTAACATGCTGAACCATGATCCAACCAACTTGCTGATTGCTTCTGATTGTCAAATAGAATCCATTTTTCGTCGCAGTTCGAAACAACGCGTTTCGATATTCTTTCGTTTGTGTGTTTGTTTGTCAATCTGTTTTACCTAGCCAATTTGACGCAAATGGACCAATATTGTCAATAGCTGCTGCTACTTCAGCCGTAGATTGAGTACTATCAACTTCTACAGTCGCCTTTAATTCGTCTTTGTCGCCCAAAGTTTTTGAACGACCATGGGGTTCAATTGTCAGGTCGAAATTTCCAGAACAGAAGCGGGCAAACCAATAATAGGAGATGCGTAGTGTGACAGATTTTGGTATACATTGAATAAAACTAAATTCACGGATTTTATCGCGTTTATTTAACTACTTTTACTTATTTTTTTTAATTTCCGACGTTTCGGGTTCTTTACAGCACCCCTGGTCACGGGGGGGGTGAGATATTTGACGTCCTAATGTCATAGTTAACCCGGCTACCCTCAGTTTTTTAATATTAATTTTTCGGTTCGATCTACGCAAAACGAGCTTACAATGTTCTGAAGTCTTGCGGTGGAATGCTTGGGTTTGGGTTTAATTTTAATTATAGGATCCCAAGCAGATGGCAGCACCCATCCATCTTCTCTATTGAAATTAGGATGTTTTTTAATTTCAATAGCCTCGCGTATAATCCTTGGTAGTAATCGGTGTTCTTTTGCGAGGATTTGTTGTTTATAAAATCTGATGTAATGATGGGGACGATCTTGAACATGTTCACAGACTGCAGACTTCCCGGAGCGTTGGTGCTTCACGTCAGCTATATGTTCTTTCACGCGGGTTTTTATGGATCTTTTTGTTTGACCTATGCCCTAAATGAAAACTAAACGTCATTGTCGGAAAATTATAGGTCAGTCAACTCTGAATGGTATACTACAGTTGCATTACCCAAATCTTTTCAAGCTGTGCGGAATAGAAAGCCAAAGACCGGGCTTCGAGGAATAATGCTGCATCGCGATAACGCCTCTTCACATACCTCCCTTAGAACAAAAGCATTTATTGAGGAATCTAGTGTTGAAACTCTAAGTCACCCACCCTACAGCCCTGACTTAGCTCCTTGTGATTTGATTTTGTTCCCAAGAGTAAAAGAAAAATTAAAAGGCAAGATTTTTTCAAGCGCCAAAAAAGCCGTGGCTGCCTACGAAGAAGCGATTTCAGACCTGTCAGATCAAGACTGGCAAAAGTGTTCCCAGAGTTGGTTTAGGCAAATGGAACTTTGTATAGAGCGTGGTGGAGATTATTTTGAAAAGATGTAAAATAAATATTAATAGTATTTAGAATACTTTTAAAAGGGGAATGAAAGTGAACGCAAGTAAGACGAAAGTGATGGTTTTTGAAAGAGAAGAAAGCAAAACGGTATGTGAAATAAGAATAGAAGGAGAGTTAATTGAGCAAGTGGATGAGTTTGTGTATTTGGGATGTGTATTTAGCAGGGATGGTAGATATGATAGGGATATAGAACGACGAGTAAATGCAGGGAATAGAGTGAATGGGGCACTACACTCTATTATGAAGAACCAGAATGTGTCAAAAAAGGCACGTATGGTAATTCATAATGCTGTTTTAGTCCCTACTTTAATGTATGGTAGTGAAAGCTGGGTGTGGCAGAAGAAACACGAAAGTAGAATAAATGCTGTAGAAATGCGGTCTTTAAGGAGTATGCTAGGGTTGAACCTGAATGACAGGGTGAGAAATTGCATGATAAGAGATAAATGTGGTATGCAAGATGATGTTGTGACCAGGATTAAGAAAGGAATGCTTCGGTGGTTTGATCATGTAGAAAGAATGAATGAGGGAAGAATGACAAAGCAAATTTATATGGCAGATGTGAACGGCGAGTCGGGAAGGGACGCCCTAGAAAAAAGTTTATCGACCAAATTGGAGATATTTTGAAAGGGGGCCACGTTAGAAGTACCCTTAACCGACGAGCATGTATGCGTAGATATATGGATGTAAAGGAGGCGAAACAGGTATGTCAGGATCGTGCCAAATGGAAGTCCGTAGTCTCTGCCTACCCCTCTGGGTGACAGGCGTGAGTGTTTATGTATGTATTATGTTATGTAATACTTTTACCTGTCAATTCAATACTCATTATTAAGGAGGATAACTCGAAAACTACTGGTCAGATTCTTATCAAGTTTATATTGGATCACATTAGAAGCACCAGCTTTCTAATAAAAAGAATCATCAAAATGGCTTCACCTAGTAAATATTTCTGAGGTAACACACACAAAAGAAATGCAATCATATTAGGAACCCCCTTCTTTTTAAATTCTCAGAGGTGAATTAAAACTCTAATTGTCGATAACTAATTAATAAATAAATATAAAAGTGAATAGAATTAAGAAAAGAAATAAAGCTAGCTAAAGAAAAGAAAGTACCTATAAGAATTATGAAAAAGTGGCCAACAACGAAAACAAAAAAAAAATAAGAGTAGTGGTAGGTCGTTTGAAAATAAGTTACATACGAACAAGGTAATAAGGGGATCCCCGATCTAATCTAAGAAAAAATAAATCTAATAAATACATTTTCGCGTAGATATATTTCATATGAATTTACAATTATCGTATTTACATTGATTCATATCTACAACAAATCTACCTTAAATCTTTTTTATGTTATCTTTATTTTTGTTTATGTACTTACATTATTAAAATCATCTCCAAAGAGTATTTATTCGCTATTTTGATAATTTTCATAATAATTAAATAGTATTTATTACTCAAAAAATCATAAAAATTGTCTTTTCTGATATTAATAAATATTTTCTTATAGATACAAACTGTATCTGTCTTAACTATTAAATTAACTTTATTTAACCTAACTTTATCTTTCAAACCTTGTCAAAAAACCTTAAAAAAGCCAAAAAACCTTAAAAAAGGCAATGCGTTTGCGACTAATAATCATAAATAACTTAAACAGTATATACTTGATAATGTCTGTAAGTATTATCACAACGCAACGTAATAATCTTGAAACTACGTAAATTTAAAAGTATAATACTATAATTTTCAGATACGTTTTTATTGTATTCATAATAGAACATTCTGTAAGTTATGTTGAATATAGGTATGATCATACGATGTAATCGCAAACGTTCCCATAAACGTACCTTCTTTGGAATTTAAAACAATAGTGTCACAAATCGCTTACGCGGCTGGGATTGCAACTTGTATTTTGATCTATCTGGAGTTATGTTAATGAAAATGATTGCGTTGCTTTAAACATACTTCATTTTTGTATATATTAATAATTTTGTTAAAGAATAATGGTGCCAACGAGCACACAGTCCACCTGATGGTAAGTGGATGCTGTGGCCCTTAGACATCCATATTAAATTTCAAAATGCAGATGCTTTGTCACCCCTGAGGACTAAAATGGAATGCCTCGTTTCCGGTAAATAGGTTATCCGGTTCTCTACACTCATCATTCGAAACACAGCAGCATTAGGCTGCAATTTTACGGTAGTATTATGTGATAGCGTGCTCCTACCTCGATCGGGCTGACTCATCCTTGCTTCAACCATATAACATAGCTGCAGCATGCCTCTACCACGTTTAAAAATCTTAAAATGAAATTAAATAATTAAATTTTCGGCTTTATTGAATGAATTGTTTAATGAAAATGTTTAATAATGTTTTAAAATTATTTTTTAATAATGAAATTAAGAGATTTCAATAATTTGCTTATGACTTGTTTAGTTAGTAATTTTAAAGTAATTTTCTCGTATACTATGTATGATTAAATTGTATTCGTCAATTCTTGACAAAAATGATATACTCAAAGAATATGTTCTTGTAAATGATGTTAATAAAGTTTATGACATACGGATATGTAATTATGACTGAAAAAAGTATTCCCCGGACAAGATAAGTGGTATAATGACATGATAATTTAAGTAACTATGTGAATTAAACCCTACAAACATATTGTGAAAAAAATATTTTTAAGGAGATATGCAAACTTATGACATTTAGTAGCCTTATAACCTATACTACCTTAGCTCAAGCTCTAATTTCGCCCCTACTTCCCCGTGCATCTTATGCTGTGTTAACCACATGTTTGTAATCTCCAATAGGTTGTTAGATACTTATTTCATTAGGTTTATCATATTTATGCCTGTTTTTACGCCAACCCAGTCGCTTCTTATTTTTATAACGGTTATTTCCCATTTTAATTTTACGTCGTCCTGTTGCGTAATGTGTATTCTTGTCGTAAGCGACACAACTTTTCCTTTCGAAAGCCGAAGTGAGACTGATCGGGCGGCAGGGAACAAGGTTCAGGACGCCAATGGTTAAGGTAATTTCTTTTCACAGTGAAAATAATGGTAATTTAAAAAAAATATAAAAACATTAGCTTTACAATTAGTTCAGTTATTATGCAAAGTTTCATGATCTAATTTAAAGTATTTTATGAATACCAGCGGTTCATTGTTCAGTTAGGAGGTAACTTTTGATTTTTTTCTATCGAGACAATTTTACGGAATCATGTTTTCATCTAACATAGTACTTGAAATTAATCCTTAACTTTACCATATGTTTATTTCAAAATTAGTGTTGCAACAATTTCACCATAACGGAAGATCTTGTTAAGCCATTTGAGGTAGTATAGGCCCTTAATAAACAAGATTGTGACGTCAAAATTACTATGGGGCAGGACAAGGGAATCTGGCTACTTGATTTAATCATAGAATCTATCTTTTATAATTTATTTTTGTAAATTATAATATTGTTTCTAGACATAATATTTTGTTTTACAAAAAATGTATTCATTTTTTTCGGTGGAAGGTTTAACGACATGTAGCCGCTACGACAATAGGTATATTTTTATAGGATAAGGGTGACAAACGAGCACACAGTCCATCTGATGGTAAGTGGATGCTGTGGCCCATAGACATCTACATTCGATTAATAATCAAAATGCAGATGCGTTGTCACCCCTGAGGACTAAGATGGGATGCCTCGATCCCAGTGAAACGAGTCTCCGGTTTTCAACACTCACCATACGAAACACAGCAGCATTACGCTGCTATTTAACGCTGGTTTTCTGTCAGAGTGTGGTCCTTCCTCGGTCGAGCCGACCCATTCATACTACAACCGTAATATAGCTACAGCGTGGCTCTACCATGTAAGTTTTCTGTGAGAGCGTGGTCCTTCCCCGGTCGAGCCAACCCATTTATGTTACAACCATAATATAGCTACAGAGTGGCTCAAATTTATATATATATATTATTATATATTAGAGTATTAACAATAAGGATCATTGAGTATAATTAAAGACCAAGAAGAAGCAACACGTCTTATTCTTCACTATCGTTGATATCTTCCAGTATTACACAAGGTTACACACGTGACTGTGACGTATAGAAATAATTTATCTTGTTATGTCATGTGTTAAACAAATAAGTTAAATTGCTATAAACTATACCAAGGATTATAAGTACCAAAAGTTATGCGAATTTTGACACGCATTATATATATTCTTTTATATAGAATATAGGTAGCAAATGAGCACACAGTATACTTTAAGAATTAAAATGCAGATGCATTGCCACCCGTGAGGACTAACTTGAATTTTCAAGTTACCTTAGTTCCAGTAAAAACGGTTTTCGGTTCTATAAACTCACCATACGAAACACGGCAACATTGAGGAGTTTACGCTAGTATTGTAAGAGAGCGTGGTCCTTTCACGGACGAGCAGCACCGTTCGTGCTACGACCATAATATAACTGCAGCATGGCTTTACAACGTGTAAAACTGGATTGACTAAAAATATTGAGTCTATATTTTTGCTACGTGTCAGTCTGGAGCATATTACCTATATTATTACAGTTAATAATTTCTGTGTGATTATTGTGCCTTTGACATAAATTCTTTTCTACCCTCAATATCACCGCAAACATTGAGCATGTGCAAGTTAGCAATGTAAACGCTAACACATGCCTATGTTAGTGCTTACATTTCCGCATTATAATATCTCCTGTGCATTACATAATCGTAAAGGTAGCGTAATCAATATAGACCGGGTGTTGGCAATATAAAACTTGTGATGGCGGTTTAAGATAATCCGCCAGCCCATTTTGTCATGTGGGTGTAAATAGTTTCTATGGAAAATGCCGTGAAATCTCATGGCTTTTAAAAGATGGCGGTATAACCATCACATTTAAACTGGATAAAAGTTATCTTACGTTTAAAATATTCTCACCTGATAAAGTTAGGAATACCCGTAATGGATGTAGCCAAATTCCTTTCGGAGACTTTGGGGGGGTCTCGCAAGCAGTAATAGATCGATATACAAATGGATCACAGCCAAACGAAGTTTGCCAGTGCGGAGAACGGAACTAAGTACTTTAGTTTCGTTATTTGTGTTAAAGGTATTAAGACTACAAGGGTCAATCCACAATAGACTGTTACTGACCAATTAGGACCTCCATAGACGTCTGATACCTGAAATAAAAAAAATCTTTGATAAGAAATGTAATTATCACCTATTGCTCAAACTGAGACCGTTCCTTGATTGGTTGACGTCAAAGTTGCATGATATGTTCTGCATTAAAAGTTATATCAAGTAAATATTCAATATATTTTTTTTATAAAATTCAAAAGTGACAAACGTACTTTGTCCATCAATGTATTCGGGTATTTGACGAATGTACAATAACATTTTAAAGCGTATTTTAAAACAGTTTATTAAACATTGATTAAAACTACTTTTACGGATTTTATTGCGTTTAATTTTAATTTTAATTATTTTAATTTTTAATTTCCGACGTTTCGGGTGCTTTTCAGTACCCATGTTAACGGGGGACTGAGGTGACTGACGTCCCGGCGTCATTGTTAAACCCGGAGTACCTTCAGCTTTTTTAATTATTGTTTGTAGTCCGATCTATGCAAAATGAACTGACTATGTCTTTAAGTCTTGCAGTGGTATGCTTGGGTTTAGTTTTAATTTTATTGATTATAGGGTCCCAAGCAGGTGCTAGTACCCAGCCTCCTTCTCTATTGAAATTAGGATGTTTTTTTTTTAATTTCAATAGCCTCACGTATCATCCTTGGTAGGAATCGGTTCAGTTTATTAAACAGGTGAAAAATACAAGATTAAAATATGTTTAACTATGTTAAATGTTAATGTTACGTATTTTGTTATATATTACGCTAATGAGTTCGCGCCCGTCACGGTAAAGGTGAATACTATCTAAATTTTAATAATTGTCAAACTATAGTGATTGTTTTGCGTAAAATGTTAACGCCAGGAAAAATTTATGGTTGGATCGTAAATGTTGCTATATCAAAATGTAAAGAGATGGTTATGATATAAGTTTAGTGATATGTGTTAAGTGATCTGATAAAAATAATAAGGAAATATATAGTTTGTAATTTAACCTAAGGGTCAGTTCACACCGATACGTAGCGCTAGTTTTTAAGGTAGTGTTACAAAATATAACTTCATTTTCGACACAAAAATTATTTTTTGAGATATTTCGAAAATACCCCGTGGCGATGTGCTCGCTCATCAAAATACGCCGTGTTGGGCCTCGAGATGCCTCGGGGAGTAGCGCGATGTCGCCATCGCCATCGCCACACGAACGCCACACGCTACGACTGCTGTCACTGCGAGTCGTTATCATTTTATTTTAATGGGTGTAAATTAAAGGGAAACGTAAAATCTACACTCGCATGTTTTTTAATTCTTCTTTTATGTTTTTGGTCTGCTGTTTCAAGTTTATCAAATGACTGTTAATAATTTTATTTATATTATTACCATATCTTCGGAACGTTTTAATAAACTATATTCGGACTCCAACACAGACGTCTGTTTCTTCCATAAATTCATTAAATGATTATGGTTTTGCCGAATAAGTTCAATATCCTTGTGAATAGGTACGCCGAACTGTTTGGCGAGTATCCTAATCCATTTACAAATCCCCTTCGCTGTCTGGAGCGTCCGACGAAATAGTGATTCAATAGCTGGTCGTTGTAATAGTTCAAAGAACGCGTGCTGTAGGTCTAACAATAATCATGCGGAATAAGTGATCTGCGTTTATGATACACCTTTCTTTGAAATGTTTTAATAACATTTCAAACGCTTCAATTCTGTCTCAATAAGCATCTAAGTTGTAATACACAATAAGTATCCATTTATCCTGGATTATCTGCATTTTTCCTATTGGGTCGAAATAAATAGACTTGTTATTTTTATAAGTAGCGATAACGCTTTCTCTAAAGGCAGGTGTAATTAAGCATATAAAACATCTAACGCATGTCAATGGCGCTGAAATTAGTGTATGTGTCTTGTAGCTTATTTTCTTCCTTTTGGGTTCTATTCTGTATAAAGTTACTAGACCTTTGTTTTTGTTCATTCCGTTGTGGTGATAATTTAAATGGCAGTAATGAGAGTTTACTGATCAGCCTTGTAAGATTACCGTTTATAGTTTTCAATGTCACAACTCTTACATGGCCGTCGCCCTATCATACATTTATCCATTAGCCACATTTTATCGTCTTGAAAGATTACCATATCACCGATATTTATGTTTGGTTGCAGTTTTAGCTATTTTTAACTTTCAGCAATATTTGTTTCGCAGCTGAAGTTGCTATCTTGTCCTGGCAATAAAACTTACAAACTGTAAAAAAAACGTGCAGGTAACAAGAATTTCAAGTCTTTTATGTTTTCAGTTAGCGGGCACAAGGGTTTTGAGTATAAGCACGCTTTGTGTTTAATAATATCTATTATAATTTTACATACTTCAGTTTTCGTAACCAACCAACCAGTCTAATGAGTCGCATGATAACAACAGAGTTCGAGAGTCTTTGTTGCGTGTTCGGTTTTCAAATTAAAAATTATATTTTCTCTTTTCATCTAAATTATATTTAAGCTATTCGAAAAAAGATTTTCTTTCTTAATTCCATATTTGCGGAGTTGTCATTGATTTCGTTAATCCTAATTTTGTTTTAAATTCCGGTTTTAAGGGTCGATCTTTTCATGACGTTTCATAGTTGAAGAGAAGTATTACAATACACGATACTTTTCTTCTAAGAACAACTCTGGATGTTCCTATAATTTCTGAATATTTTCAATACCATTTATGACAACATTATTGTATATTAAAAATATTTTCACACTAAATAGCATCTTAGGTTCTGTGATAAGTTGCGATGAATCTCCCCAATGAAATGCCACCGAACATGATCGTAGAATAAATAGCATCGAAGTGTAATTCCATTAGACGACTGTTAAAAACTCAGGATCAGCCAAGTTTATATTTTTTAGGAATCAACACAAATGCTGTGCTGAGATTTGGGGAATGTTTTATTAAGTTGTTCATTACATAAACATTAATGTTCAACGTGTAGTCATTAAACATAGATGTATACGTAATATCAAACATGCCCTTGCAAATGTTATTTTCACCGACGCCATATATAACTCCTTTGCAGTGATGTCTTTAGGCTTAAGTTTGAAGATCTATTAAAGCTCTTTCAATTTGATAGGTCCCATATAACGCTACAAACTTCATAAAAGCTGTCGATAACAAAATGGCACCTCCAAAAATATTTTTGAGACACGTACGAAGTGTTTGTCACGGACTCGTTAGGTTTTTTCGCAACCTGTAACAGAGGTTTAAAACTTAAATAAAATGTTTCTGCAAGCATTTGCGTCACCTCTGTATTGTATTTCAATACTTGAATTTCCGCTATAGTTACAATTTATGCAAAAAAATTGTTGGTGGTTTTCAATGCCGTTTGATATTGCAAATTTTTTTTTGCAATTTTAAATACCATGGTAATCATTACAAAGATGATATTTGATTCCAGTAACATTATAAGATTTTATTAAATCTCCTCCTGGCAGTTTGGTCACTCACAAGTACCTGGTGTTTGGACTGTAGTCTTTGGACCGATAACATCGCCGTAACATTTGGTTGCCTTTTCGCAGTAATTTGCAAAAAATGGTCTTATCTAGGTGTAGTGATGCTAATAAAGGCTTAGTCCTGGAATTCTCTTCGCCATCTTCGTCGTGGTACGATAACGTGACCACATCCTCGAAATCACATTAAAAGGACAGGTCTGCAGCAATCCCACTGCCCTGAACATCTCTTCTCCAGTTTAATGTTGGCGATGCATTGCATTAAATGTCAAACAATCACAATCAATCCAAATAGAATCAAAAACATGTTTATATTGCGGTTTTCGACAGTGATTACCCAACTCACTCAATTCACCTCAATTTTTTTACATTTTATTATTTCTTCTATTTAAATTTGGAATCAATCTGGAATAAATAACGAACTAATTAATAATAAAACATTTTAAAAAGGCCAGCACTTCTGTCAATGTTACTGGTGTTGTGTTTATTATAGCTATAACATGACTGAACAGATTTTTTTTGTTTTATATTCGGATATTTATCAGATATTTTTCTCTTCAGGCTGGTACTTATAACTATATCTATAAACATTAAAAATACGTTTCACATTGTTTGTTCGCGATGAACTCCGGTTTTAATAAAAAAAAATTAAATGTGTAATGCTTACTCAAACTTAAGAGATGGAATAGTTTTTATCCCGTTAAGTAATACCGATAATATATAAAGTTAAGTTACGAAGCCAAGAGACCAACTGGCTAAGGTTTAGTGGTAAATGAAAAGCAACCGGCGGACGATGTGGGGTATCGGATAGCACCCCCTTCTTTATTTGAGCTCGAAACGGTCCATTAAGTATTCCCAGTTACTTCAGATGACCTGAAAGGCTGACCGGAATTAACTCATTTGCAGAAACAACTACAAGACTATTTTCGATAGTCAGACTATCACAGGACATATCGGTTACCTCGTCAGCGATTCAGATACTTTATTCGTCAATGTGTTTCGGTTATTTTATGTTGTAAACCGTTATAAATACGATAAAAGTATAATATCAACTGTAAACTTATATGTTTGACATTAAAGAATTATTTTTGAATCTTTAGCGCTATAATAGCAACATATAGTAACAACATTTTGTTGGTGGGTTATCGATGCAGTATCAGAAGACTCGTACCGGCCTTTAAATTTGAGGATTTAGTTCATACGTAACAAGGATTTTTGACAATATTTGATAACTATGAAACAAAAAATGATATCTCATTTCATTTTAAAGATTTTGCAACAGTTAAAAAACTCACTTGTTTAAAGGATTCTGCTATAACGACTGTATATACGCAGCATGCTCCTAAGTGAGTTACTGCCAAGGCCCAGTCTGCAAGCTCTCTGTAAAATTAAAATAAGTTACTTAAATTAATACATGTGGTAGAAGTACGGAAGTAAAGTAAAAATGTACAAGTATGATATAAGATAGCAGAGTCAAAGGTGCATATTCGATGTCGTGGGCCGTTAGAAAAATAAACATCATATTCTACTCGATATTCAGCGTACTGAAGGCATTATAGAGCTAATTCACGCATTCTTAAACCACATTCGGTATTCAATGTTTTCAAATATCTTCGAACGCGTAAGATGCATCCTGCAGCTATATTATGGTAGCAAAAATCGGTCGAGTTAGACCACACACTCACAGTATACCAGAGTAAAATAGCATTTTAAAGCTGCTGTGTTTCTTATAATGAGTGTAGACAACCATATATCCCTTTTTCTGGAAACGATGCATTCATTCCTAGTCATCAGTGGTGACAACGCATCTGCAACTAGATTCTATACGAGGATCAATGTATGTGTCCATGGGCCACAGCATCCACTTACCATCAGATGGACTGTATGCTCGTTGGTTAACCCCATTAAAAAACTCTCATAAACAGATTGAACAGCCACAGGGTACTACTTATGCCACAGGGTACGCCTGTAAAGGCGTCCAATAAGTAGTACCCTGAATTTTAATCTATAAATATTAAAATTCAGTCGGTTTAGGCCCCGTTAATCGTTACACACTAGAAACATAAACAGAAACAAAAACAAAAACTTTTTTATTCAATGTAGATTATAACAATACTTACTGAAAGTCACTTTTTTCATTTACCACTGGTTCGCAAAAAAAAACCTCTGTCCTGGGAAGAACCAGCAAGAAACCCAGCGTGACTTTTTTCTTTTCCAATAATAGCTTACAATCATGTTTACAATTAACAACACAAGACAAATTAGAAATAGCTTGGTAGCGATCACCCTTCCCAGGGCTTATTATCATCCATAAATACTTTAATATTATAATAACCCTTATAATACAAACTTAGTTCAATAACATTTTTGAACTTTGTATATAGTACCTAGAAAGAGATTTTAATGCCGTGTACCATTCCAGCGCACTATCTAAACCTGGCCAGCGTCTTTCCGTAAAGCAACCCTGTCTACCCTGTCATACGCTATTTAAAAAAATGCACAAAAAATTTCGTGACTATTAGCCAAAATTTCAATGTGATAATGTGCATAGAAAATAGGCACTAAATCATTGCAAAAAAAGCTATCTCGTGCAATATTGCAAAAAAGACCTTTAAATTATATTTTTATTGTTCTCTAATTTCAAGATAAAGCGTTTTAAAATAGGAAAGTCTGGAGTTATAATAAAAGCGGTAGTGACAGTCGAAATCTCTAAAATTTTTATTTCAATTAACTAACGTAGACTATAAATAATTATTAACGTAAATAATTTTTAAATAAAACTGTCCTGGAAAGAACCAGTAAGAAACACAGCTGATTTTTAAAATGTAACGTTTATAATTTCATTTATTAAAGCTTGTCAAAAGTTTACTGCTGAACATGGTTCTCTCACAGTCTCACTGGGAGGATATTTGCTATAGTTTTCACGCATGAGAGACGGGTTAGCCAAGGTAATATACAAAAATTGATAATGGTAAAACACATTTATGTGCAATCACAAAAACTTATTTTGAAAAATCTTCGAAGCAATCACAGCATCCTCATGGCGAGAAATATTTAGATTATAGTTTACACAGTTTTTATTAAAAAACATTGAAGTAATATATGCTTACGTACTAGAACAGCTATCTTAAACAAAAAAATGTGCGCTACTCTGTGTTCGCGCGGTTCTTTTTTTATCATAGAATAAACATAGGTAGAATGACCCGTAGGTAATAGTGAATTGTATTGTTAAATAGGTAAATTATATCGAGAACAATATTTAAATTTTGTCACTTATTTTGTATATAATATTTGCTTATTTAATATAATATTACATGATATTATATCACCATTACATTTTAATGATATTTTTATCTGAATATTTTAAAAGGTATCTAAGTCAAATAAAAAAACATACTAAATGTATGTTTCACAAAACGTATTAACATAACATTTTAATTACAAATATATTTATTTAAATTAGAATAAAAGTCGTTCATAAATGCTAGGCACGCGAGAGTTAAAAATGAACGAATTTATACTACCTTGACTTTTATGTGGAAACATTAAATAAGATAAAAGAATTATAAGCAGATCTAAACATGAAAAATTTTGCCAAATTATAATAAATTATATATGTTTCTACCAAAAAATGTGTATTTTAATATATTTGTCCTATACTTAAGTACCCACAGAAATGTCGCATCTGAACATATTAATTTCATAATCTATATTCCATGACACGAGATGGCGTCTTAGGAATAATTTGTTTTATTATTAATACATAATAATTTTTTTATTGATTAAGTATCTTATAACCGACGAAAAGTAATTCCTTGGTTATTACTGACATTTCTTGAATTATTTGTGCAATATCTAAGTACACACGACGGCATATTTTTATCAAGAGATTTTTTTTTTTAAATCAACACAGCACATGACAAATCTACAAGCGCCTAGCGAGTGACTGATTAAAGTGCGGTGTATGCACCGCAGTTGAGTGGAACAGAGTAGCTGAATGCAGTGTCGCCTCTAGTACGTAGTACATAATAGCTCAATGTTAAAAAATTAAGCTTGTTGATAAGGAGGAGGAATTGACCAATGGATCTTTAAGCTCGAGTTACTGGTGCTTATATACTGGTGTTCAGAGGATGTATACGTACCTATTTTTAAATGAAATAAGAGTTGCTTTTGAATATATAAATTTTTAATAGGAGTCAAGATTATCGATGACAAATATTCAAGTAAGCTACAGAACATAGCGTTAAGTTAGTTATTCTGTTAGATGAAAATAAATATGTGATATGTTGAATGTTAACATGTGAGCTTTATGAATATAATAATATTAAGCTTTTCATGAAAGACGATTGGAGGAACAGAGTTGATTCCATTTTATTTCCGCAGATCTCTACGACTACTAATTAATTACCTAGCTTCGCAATTTTCATGTTTTCTTGTTTATGTTTTTAGTGCTTGCAAATTATTTTATAATCTTAGACTTGCGAAATAGCGATGAAAATAAAAATATTTTGTCTTTGTTTAACGTGTATAATTTATTTTAAAAAATGTTACGAACCTTGCAAAAGGAGCAAATTTCCTAATAGGTTTTGGACCGTTTTGAAAAACGAGATCACAGGTATCGGCGTATCCCAACGATGGTTTTTTGACTTCCACGCACAGTTGCTGTGATGTTTTAACCTGTATAGAAAGTATATGTATATAAAGTACATATTTAAAAGAAAATAAACAATTTAAGAGATTAAGAAAATTTAAACAACATGCATTGATCATGAGATCTGATGATCCTGTTAATTATTTTACTTTATCCTGGTGAACCTGACAAGGGCACTAGTTTTAAATAAAATAATATTGTTATCGGTCCCTGATACGAGTGTAAATTTTCAAGTCAATCAATTTGGTCCACCCGATGCATAAAATAAGCGACGGTTCAGACCTGTCTAACTACAGGCTTAATGCTATCACATCTTTGTTCCCCAAAGTAATGGAATCCATTACAAATTGCCAGCTTATGAAGTACCCAGAGGATTACCTGCTAATTAGTGACTGCCAATACGATTTTCGTGGGGTCGGTCAGCTCGTGATCTCCTGGTAAACCTGACTCATAGGTGGGTGAACGCACTGGCCGTTAGTTTAGACGTAGCGAAGGCTTTCGATCGGGTTTGGCGCAAAACGCTTCTTTCGAACCTCAGTTCCTATGGGCTTTCCAAGATATTGTGCAATTAGATCGCCAGCATTCTTGCAGATCGAAGCATTAAGGTTGTAGTAGACAGTGCATGCTATTACAAGCCCATTAATGCTGGTGTGTTTCTGCTATCACCAAGTTGTTTTATCTGCATATCAATAATATGTCGCAAACCGATAACATTTTTAGATATCTGGATGACAGCACTGGTGATGCTCTATACACCGATCGTGCCAATATTTCTCGGGAAAACGTCGCCGAGTACTGGAAAAAACTTGTCTAAAGTCGAGTCGAGAAGAACAAAATCTCGAATCGGGGGCGACTATATCTCCAGTTTAATCCTCATAAGACACAAATTTGTGCGTTTATCGCTAAAGAGAACTCTTTATCGTTTCTCTTTAGTTTCAAGGCACTTTTCTTGCTGTCTCAGCCAGTATCGGAATCCTTAGCATTGATATATCGAGTGAGATGTAGTTTCGTGGTCACTTGGAAGAGAAGGCTAAAATGGCCTCTTATAAGCTTGGCGCGCTCAGCAGAGCAGGACAGTATTTCATGCAGACACACCGCCTGCAACTTTACAAGGCGTAGGTTCGGCCACACACGGAATCCAGTTTCCATCTCTGGGTCGGGACTCCCAAATGCCAGTTCCTTCCACTTGACCGCATCCAGCGCAGATCAGTTTGAATCTTCGATGACCGAGTTCTCTCCAATCGACTCGATTCAATGGCGCTGCGAAGAGATGTTGCATCTCTCTACATTTTCTATCGCATCTACCACGGGTAGTGCTCTAAGTAATAGTTCGAATTAATTCCAGCCGACAATTTTCACGTACGCACCTTGCAACAAAACTCACGATAACATTTACACTATCTGAATGTTTGGCGGTCCACCACTATACGTTTTATTAGGAGTTTTCTTCCTCCTACGACCCGTCCGTAGAATTGTTTACCACCGGAAATTTTTCCGGCCCGATACGACTTAGGGACGTTCAAGAAAAGAACTTACTACTTTCTAAAAGCCCTTCAATTTGGATTTAATTTTGTTAATTATAGGACCCCAATCAGATGGCAGCACCCGTCTAACTTTACTATTGAAATTAGGATGTTTTTTAATTTGAATAGCCTCGCGTATCATCATTAGTAGGAATCGATGTTCTTTTGCGAGTATTTGTGGTTTATCAAATCTGATATAATGATGGGGACGATCTTGAACATGTTCACATACTGCAGACTCCCTGGAGCGTCGGTGCTTCACTTCAGCTATATAATCTTTCACGCGGGTTTTTATAGATCTTTTTGTTTGACCTATTTGTTTGACTCCGTGACCATGGGTGCTGTAAAGCACCCGGAACCCCGGGAATTAAAAATAAGTTATTAAACGCGATAACATCCGTAAATATGGTTTTATTCAAAATGAATAAATGTTTTTAGTTTTGTACTTACTAGTATATGTACTACGTGTCCACAGATAAATCCTATTACTATAGTTCCAATAGCTCCAACGAGTAGGCCAGCGTTCTTAAAAGCTAGGGGCATCGCTAATACCCCCGAGCCGAGCGACGCCTTGAGGAGATGCGCTAATGCACCGAAGCTCCTGTAAGCAGATAATATTTACTTAAAAATTATCCATTAGAATTTGTAATTTTTATCTTGTTGCATTGATTCCGCAGGAGTCTATACTTCTCCCGAATCCTGTCATTCTTTGGATCTGATTTGTAACTCGACTTTGCGTTATTTTTCCTGCAGATCGATCTTTTAAGATCTTCGGTCAACCATGGAGCTGGAGGATGACGTATTCGCACTGGACGGACAGGAGCATGAGCATCATAAAGTTGAACAAGAAGTAAATTAAACAATGCAACCTGTTCTTCAACATCACAAGCTTCATTATAAAGCTCCAGTCCATATTAACAGCGTCTTTTTGTAGCTTTTCCAAATCGCTTTTCTCAAAATTACGCTGCAGAAGTATCCTTGATTCGGCTTTGAGTGGTCTTATTTTTTAAGATAGAAACAAGAGATCATGATATGAAAAGGCATTGGCAGCACATTGACCAAATCTGTCAACATGGTCGAGAGAAGAAACGATAACCAAATCAAGGAAGGATGGGATACAGTTGGGGAAAAAATGAGTTTCAGAAAGAGGAAGGATATTTAAATTGGCTGCTTCTATAAGGGATTTAAGCCGAAGAGATCGGGCATAATTCTTGAGAAGGCAAGTACTATAATATAATGGAGTTGGCTCTTCAAGAAAGTTATCCAATGTAGTAAAATTGTCCACTGTGGATGAAGAACTATAAAAAACTCCGAGAAGTAATTTGTTGTGCGAAAGAAATACTTCAACAAATAAGTATTCTGCTTCGTTCTCAGCTTAAGATGGATATGATAAACATACTATAGAAAAAGGAATATGAGCATGAATGTAAATGGCAACACCACTACCACCTCGCACAGTTCGGTCGTCGCGTATTAACTGAAGTCCTCGAATGGAATAGGACATAGAAGGAAGACATAGCTTTGACCGTGACTCCGAAACGAGAGTTGCATGAACATTATTACTTTCAAAACTAGCTAACATATCGGGATAATGAGCCGGAATACTCTGTGCATTTATGTGAACTATATTGAAGTTTTTGATAACTTGAGAAAAATAAGAGTCAAGGGTCTCTTTTAATGGAGGAATGCTCTCAAAACTGTCCTCATTACTTAATACATCAGATACTGAAAAGAACGAGGAGGAGCTTTTATTATGATCACTTTCACCAAAAGACAAGTTATCTTTACAAATATATTTAAAAAATCAAATAACTGTAAAAAATACTAAAAACTATGAAAAGATAAAAATTATAAACTAAGCCTGTTTATTAAATTTACTACCTACCAGCATTTACAGAATAGAAAATAATGCAAATATTTAAAAAAAGGTACTGCACATATGCCATTCAGATCATTTTTGATTGAACAAAAATATAACTATATAAATATTTTATGCTTGCAATAATGTAAATAAAGTACACGTCCGACAAGGCCGCATGAGCATGGATACCTTTGCATTAAAAAATACAAGTACACCTGTTAATCCATAGATGTCAAATCTCCATGTTATAACCAAAGAACATTTAATACTCTGTAATGAAAGGATATTACTCTAAGGTAAATAACAGTGATTATATACTCTTAATAATTGTAAAACAAAATTTATTATTCTGTGGTCGAAACCTAGGATTACAGTCAATTAACTGTATCAAATACCTACATTCTTGGTTAAGTTAACCTAATTTAGAACAATAAAATCACAACAAAAGACAAAGTCTAAGTTTCAAAGTGATGTAGATAGATATTACTTCTTATATAATAGGGATCAAAACCATATCTTATTTAATATTAGACTGGTAAAAAAGAAATAAGGTTAGCAAAAATCACAATGCCGAGACTCTGATCTTCTTGGAGACTTGGTACGTTCTATAAGTGAAACTAAACCACTGGTTTCAAGGATTACGGTGTTTACACTAACAACCTATATATATATATATATATATATATATATATATATATATATATATATATATATATATATATATATTAACTATATATATATATATACATTACATTATATTAAAAAAGAAATAAGGTTAGCAAAAAGCACAATGCAGAGACACTAAATATTGACCGTAAACATAATGTGATAAAAGACAATACATACAGTTTATTGAAGGGAACTAAAGTTCCTATTCCACATAACTATCATTTTTTCATCTTCTTGGAGCGCTGAACTACTTTGTCAGTAGATCTAGTACTTCCAGCGACTTCCTTCTGTGCTCGGGTAGCAGCAACTGGTGCTACTGGAACGACTTCGAGCTCATCCAGGGATTCAAGTTCATGGCGCGAACCGTCATAAGCAATAATATGAATATAACCATCCCCAGTTCAGCAATTATTTATGCCAAATTTCTGCCTGACCACCATGAACTTCTTGTGACGATCTTTTGTTAAAAACTCGGACATAGTGACACCCGTGTCTTTCAGTTTTGTTTTTGAGAACCAAACTTGATCACAGACTCGGACATCTCGGAACTTTACAAGAACTGGTCTTGGTTTCTTATCTATTGGACGTCCAAGGCGATGGCAGCGGCTAAAAGAAGTGTTAGACACATTGGGAATCTTGAGCTTGTCCATTATAAGGTTAGAAGCCAACGAAGATGTATCCTCGGACTTGTCTGGAATCCGAAGCGCAGAATCTAAACGCCGTCTTATCTCCAAGCGGTCGATCTCTCTCCCAATAAATTCAACCTATCTTTGAACAGTTAGAAGAGCGGACAAGATAAACTTTCTGAATGTTGCGAACTCCGTTGAGAGTACAGATATATTTGAGGACATAGTTGGACTAGTCTTATTTAAGTCCTGCTGAAACTCATTCATACGAGTATTGAAGAGTTATGACATGGCTGACAGTGATCCTTTGAGGGCATCCATGGTTTCGTGTAGTGTTAGCAAATTAAGAAAAATATATATCAAAGAATCAAGGCTGGTAAACAGATGATTATTACATATATGTTTTATACATTAAAATAACCAAATTTCTATTTTTAAAATATAAACTATGCGAGACTGATCAAAACATGTTGTGTTACTTATTTCACTCCTACCTACGAAAAAACACAATGTACGTGGAATATGAGAAAGCCTATGAAAGGTAGAAGTTTTAAAAATAAAACAGTAAAATAGTAACTAAAATTTTTTTCCTTCTTCTTTTTAAAAAACGTTACCCCCATTCTAGAATTTTCTCATGTATCATGGAGGCAGCCAAAACGGACAAACATAAACCTAAATTGCACAAGGACATACATCTAGACCCGGAGAATTATTTATAATCAACGCTACAACTCAATGCTAAACCACTGCACCATGGAGATGTCAGTCGTATTATCCTGACCTTAACAATCACTTACTTCCATAACATTATTATTAAAACAACTGGAATACATCCTTAGTAAAATCGTGGTCATATCTAAACATCAATTTAAAAAAGTGTAAAAGAGAAGGCTTCTTGAGCGAATCCATATGTTTATTTTACTTTCTCGGTGTGTTGGCTAATGTATATCACATTTATTACAAATATTTTTAATTTTTCAAACGCATAAACGCATGCGAAGCAAACATTAACAATCAGTTACTAATAATTTGAAAATATGCCACCGGTATTGTAAATTTTTAACGGAGGGTAACTATGTATATGATGTAAGATATAAGCTTTGGGTGTAAGTCATCTTTAATTTTCTACTGTTAACTAAGTTTTATGGTTGTATTTATCTGATATTTATTGAATTCACCTAAATAATAAAATTATTAATTGCAATGAAAACCAAATAATATGCTATTTTTTTTTAAATTTCAGAAATATATAACAGCAGGTATCCATGTTTTGAGTTAAATTCAACTTATGACATCGGGACCTTCTGCTGGTAACAAAAGGTCACAAGATATTTTATTATCCTCCATCCTTTTATAAAATATTCAAGGCGAATACAATTATATGTATACCTCATTACAATTATTTTAATAATTCCATGCTAACTTCCTTAATTTTTTTTTTTTTGGTTTTGTACTCGTACGGTTTTACTTTTGCCAGAGTCTCTTTTACGTATCAAAATCCACTTCGAACCAATACTCGCACGATAAAACAACAGGAACAATCCACTGGTGGTCATGTTACCAACAAAACTTATTTACACAAAGAAGGAAATATAATCTATATAATTACTATGTAATGGATAAATTATTTTGTGGCCGTATCACTTCATAAGTATACGATTGTGTGTGTGCGTACCAAAGTTGCACTTGTATAAAATATTAAAACGTCCTTTTAAAATCTATTATTTAAACATACTTTATTACCTTTAGTGTTTTTTGACTAGTATTTACGGCTTTCGTTCATAGAAGCAATCGTGGAAGATTTTTTCAACGTCATGGTATGACGTCAGAGGTGTACCATGAAACACCATACATAATATCTAATCTGTCTCAATGAACAGCGTACTATTTGCACGATAAAGACTTTAAAAAAAACTTACGATGTTGTTGATTCCGTGGGTCTGTGTTCTGATGGCACATAAGGGTCTAAGTCCTCCCTTGATCCATTGTAAGCGAGTTCGATCCTGTAAAAAATATTTTATTAATTAAGAGAAATTTACATGCATTGTACAATACATGCTAGTAATACAGCCAGCGATATTTGCCACGTTTGGCAGGTTGGTTAGCAACTGCAGTTTTTATATTAGATTAAGTTATTATCGGAAAGACGCTGCCTATCTCGTGCTTAGGTTTTCCTTTGTCGTCTCTTACGACATTCACGGGATGACTTGGCTTAGTCGGTCCTCTTACACCACTGCTACAAGGAAACGGTGCTTTTTCTCGCATATCTTACCTTAGCTGATTCTCTCACACAGTCTATTTCACCTGATGACGCCTCGTTTAGAGGCGATATAGGTGGCGTACGACGATACAGGATGTGTTTTCCCAAATGTAATGAGTAGTGGGAACAGGAATTGTGCACGCAATTGAGGAAGATTAGAAGTTCTCTTCAAACTAGGTAAAAAACATGAGTTAATTTTATTAGGCGGATCTTAACTAATTGTTTTTAAGTCCACTAACGGGCATTGAGGTAGTACGGCGGACATTTCCTTGTCTTAAAACCCTCTCAAAAATTGGAGGAAGCCTGTACTCAGACGTATATAGGCTGTAACTATACTTTTAATTTGCCGGTATAAATAGATAACGTATTTAATTAAGCGATTAAGGGACTCCTAGAGAAGAAAAGAGACCTATCACCAAGCTATGTTTAAAAGCATTTCAGCCTAACTTACAGCATAAAAATCAGGCAAATGTACTACTAAAAGACAAATAACTTTGTACCTCCGTTTATTTACAGCCATTTGCAAAATGATTTCTGTCGGGTCTGCAAAACGTCCGAACAAAGAGAGGAAATAAATGAATGCTTCTCCAGAAATGGAAATGCCTACAACAGAGTATTTAATTACACGTGTCGTAGTGCAAGATGATGCAATGAAAAACATCTCTTTCATCACATTACAGAACGATCCCACAGATTGGGGTTAACTTGACACCAACTCCGAGGCAAATTGGTCGTTGGTATTGATTACCAATAAATGCAAGCTTTCATATAGCACGGGATTCTATATCGTTCTTGACCTTTGTCATACGGTTTTAGTTTCAACTAATGGCGTTATTTAGATCTAAGATGATCAACAAAGACTATTCATTTTATCAATTTTCGATTTAAAAATATCTCCAAAACTTTTCAAACTCTTTGTTTATCTATTCAGAAATAAAATTCGGCAAATGCGAAAAAAAAAATTAAAACAACTCATGTCTTATATCATGCAAATAACTGCCTTTTGTTCAGTTGAGGAGGCAGTTATTTCGATACTACAGTCACGAATTTAACTTATCTATGTAGATAAAGTCTGTTGCTGCTTCTTCTGCATATCGCTGTTTATTCTGCATATCAATGATATGGCGCTAATCGGTAACATTCATCGTTATGCGGACGACGGCACTGGTGATGTTTTATATACCGTCCGTGGCAATATTTCTCGGGAAAACGTCACCGAGTATCAGAACAAACTTGTGTCTGAATTCGAGACTTCAGTGAACAAAGTCTCGGACAGGGGGCGACTAAATCTAGTCCAGTTCAATCCCCAGAAGACACAAGTTTGCACGTTTACCGCTAAAAAGAACCCCTTCGTCTATCTCCTCAGTTTAAAGGCACTCCCCTTGTTGTCTCAGCCAGTATCGGAATCCTCGGCGTCGACATATCGAGTGACGTGCAGTTTCGTGTTCACTTGGAAGGAAGGCCAAATTGGCCTTTAAAAAGCTTGGCATGCTCCGCAGAGCGGGATAGTATTTCATACCGGTACACTGCATAATACACTACATAATATGACTGCAGCACGAATGGGCCGACCGTGAAAGAACCACGCTCTCACGTAAAATAGCAGCTTAATGTTGCTGTGTTTCGTATGGAGAGTGTAGAGAACGGGAAATCCTTTTTACTAGAAAGAATCTTTCTATCTTATTCCTCAGGAAAGCCAACGCTATTATATATTGTTATTTAATCAAAGATAGATGCAGATGCCTTTGGGACACAGAATATACTTATCTTCATCTATAAGAATGCCTATATATCTAAAGGAAACAAGAAACTAACTGCTACTTTATAAGGTGCACGTTCGGGCACAGACTCCCCAGTGCCAGCTCCTTCCATTTAATCGCATCCAGCACAGAATCGTCGACGAACGAGTCTTTTCGATCAGCTTGACTCAATAGCCATGCGAAGAGACGTTGCATCTCTTTACGTATTTTATTTCATTTACCACGGGGAGTGCTTTGAAGAATTGTTCGGACTAATTCCAGCCGCACAATTTAACCATCGCACATCACGACAAAATTCGCGATACCATCCACACCATCTGGATGACTGTCGGTTCACTACTGTGCGATTTAAAAGAAGTTTTCTTCCTCGCACAATTTCCTTGTGGAATTGACTACCATCGAGATTTAACCAGACCGATATGAACTTAAAAACTTAGGGAACTTAAAAAAAGAGCCTTCTCCTTTTTCAAAAGCCGGCAACACATCTGCAATTCCCCTGGTGTTGCAGTTGTTCATGGGCGTCGGTAATCACTTACCATCATGTGAGCTCGTATGCTCGCCCACTGTCCTACAAAAAAAGATAATGTTAATACCAAAATATATATTTTTCATATCAATGAATTTATCAAAATGCAATGTAAAAATAATCTATTATTGTTAAACATAGTCTACTAGCTTGCCAGGCAGACGTTGTTCTGCCCTTTTCGACGAACTTTTGTCATGTCCTATTGAATATCCTTAAATTCGCAAAAAAAATGTGGGTTACTCATGGGGAACAAAACTATCTTATCTCTCAAGTTAAACCAAACTGCACACAGTGTGCAAATTTAATTAAAATCCGTTAAGTAGTTTAGGAGTCCATCGCTGACAAACAACCTGACAGGTAATTTATATATAATAAGATATTAAGATGATATAGTCTCTATATTTTTTTAATTTCGTATTTTTTTAATTTTTATTAATGTTTTTTTTTTCTTTAAAATTGTTTCGTTCTGTAAAATGAGCTATTTTATTTAAACATTTAAATGTTTAAAACATTTAACTCTACTCATCAACTCATTCCTAGAGTAAGCTCTTGTGCTTCAGTTTTTTAAAAGATGTAATATTTTAATAACATCTAAAATCTAATGCATCTTATATAATACAATACGTTATGTATCATCTAATATTATAATCCAATGTATTATGAAGTTCTGAGAAAACTAACTTAAGTCCTCACGATGACGCACCTGTAGCCTTGTTTGTTTGAGTTAGTTGCAAGTGTCCATAGGCGGCAATAAGCACTGATATCACATATTAGTCTGTTACGTGGTTTGTCACTTGTATAAACCATATCAGGTTTACATACAACTTGTATACTTAACATATATTGAAATTAATATTATATTGCGATCTGCTCCGACTTCGCACAGGTGATATCTACATTCTACAACAGCGCCACCTACAGGGTCCAACTATGCCTATAACTTTCGAGTAAGTGCAAAATAATATGTTGACAAAGTTTCACCGCCATCTGATGAACGGTATGGCAGCGCATAAAATACGAACAAATAAAGATTAATTTTTATATGAAAGATAATTTTTTTATATAAGATAATTTTATATTTTAATGACTGCCTAGTTGGTCTAGTGGTTGTAGTAGTGCGACTGCTGATCATGAGGTTCTGGGTTTGAATCCCGGGTCGGGCCAAAAAAATCAATTATTGAGTTTTTCCGTCAAGAAATGCTCAGTAGCTGCCCGGAGTCAGGAAGTTGGTGGTATCTGACCCCCGTGCTTCAGAAAGCACGTAAAGCCGTTGGTCCTGTGCCTAATCTTTCTCCGGTCGTGTCGGTTTACCGTCATATGGGATTATGAGAGTGAGGGAATAGAGCAGTGGCGAAGCCTCTATACAAGCCCAGAAGCCCGGCTTGCCTCATTAAGATGAATCAATCAATTATATCAAGTAATAAAATAACTCGTAAACTGTTTCAAACTATTTAAAATTTCCCGCGCACTCTGTTTGACCTCGTAGCCTTACGAATGCCGCTGTCATACATATGAGGAGAGTTGAATGGAGCTATTGGTTTTCTCCCTCGCACGCGTGGGCTTTTACCGGGCTTTCAAGAAGGCGATCGCTCCCTTTCTAACCTGTGGCAAAATGTTCTCTAATGAAATATAACTACGAAATAAAAATAATAATTATAATAATAGTTTGTATAGCAATTACTATTGAGCCACAAGCCTGGCTTTGCACTGAAGTTGTTTAGGAGTGCGTCAGCAACTAGCGAATGGGGTGCGGGCCATTCGTATGCAATTTCACTTCACATTTCAATGTTTATGTTTGTTTTTGTTGTGTTTGTTAAAAATTTATGCTTTTTCAAAGATTTTCACTGAAAATGGGAAGATAATATTGTTCATTGTGATGAATATAAGTGTGTTGAAGTGCTAATCAGCGAGGAAAAGGTAAAATCTTTAAAAATGAAATTTAATATTCAATAAACATTTCTTCATACTTTAAATATAGGTACAGGACTCTTTAGTATTAAAGTTTAATTAAGTTAGGCGTATTTAAAGGTTTAATCACTCAATAATTATATTACCATATTAATTAAAAATATCATTTTGAACGGCAGCATAAAATATGAGACACCTAGTTTTAATTTTATAGGAAATAAGTGTAACAATATTTTTTAACGTGAAGGCCAAATATTAATGTAATAAATCAAAAGAATACAGAAGAATGTATTGAGGTTTTTAAAGAATACTCTCTTTAGTTATTTCCAGTATATAAAATTTTTATAGCGCCATCTACTTAATTCTATAGATAAAGTCATTTTGTCGAACGAAAATTGGTTGATTCTCACGATGGTATCTAAAGATTACGCTAGATGGCACAAATACACTAGCTAATTTAATATTTATATTACCATATGAATTTAAAAATATCATTTTGCACGGTTTATTATGAATTGAATATCATTTTGTACGGTTTATTATATATTA